CAATACCACTATAATACGAAGAGATGAACTGTCCTTGCCATCGAAGGGCAAAGAAACTGATTCCTCGACTCACCGCCAACCCCAATCTATGGGTCCAAACACAATAACCGCAAAGACGACGCCAGGCCAAGACCATCCAACCCCTTCGCGGTCCGAAATCGAAACCTTCGCGCCAGTCACGCCCATGCCGCAGAACTCTGAGTCGCTGGATTCAGATTCCGTCCCAGCTACGATCGCCGCCACAGCGCCCGAGAAAGAACAGACGACGCCGGCCGTTACATGCAGCCCGCAGAATATGGAAGGAGGGACGCAAGTTGAAAAACTTAACTCCCAGGCCGATATACAAGCCGAACATGGGTATGGCAATCGACAGGAATCTCCAGAGAGCCAAAAGACACTATCTTTACCGATTGCGGAAACAAACCTGGAGCCAAAACCGTCTCTTGACAGCCCATGCCGAAACTCTGTATCTGGCAATGAGCTCTCCACGGGCCCTTTTCCACAGCCATACCACGGGCGTGTGGTGTTACCACAAAACACCCTACCACAGCAGCAGTCTATCGCGAATTATACGATGATACCGGATGTTTACGGACCTCAGAGTTCCATGGTTTACAATATGCCTATTCAGTTGCTTGCAGGTTCCATGCAGGCGGGCCAAACACTTCCATCTTTCACAGGACAAATGCCTACTGGTCCAATGGTTATGAGTGGCCATATCGAACAAAGTGGAGTCGATTTTCGATTGGTTAATCCCTATCATTCCCATGTGGCTCCCTCAGCTGGTCTGATGAATGCGAATGCATCGGTTCCGTCAACTTTCCTTACCGCGGCTCAATTGCCCTCCATGGCTCAGGGGTCGACTTTTCACACTGCGCTGCCAAGTGTCTCTGGGCCTCCGGCACAGCACCCCGGTGGGCCGGCTTACGTATCAAACCTGACAGGATCGGAAGGCCTGTGGGAGACAGGGGCCACCGGGCCGCTAGGTGGATACATAGTACCTAGCGATATGTGTTAAGGCGTATTTATAATCAACTTCGCACCAAGATTCTGGCGCCACCAGGTCGTCATAATAAGACTGCCAATTGTGTATGCTTCGTTTTTACCTCTGTTTAACGCTTGTTCCGTGCTTTTTCTCTTTAATACTCGTGTCAAAGCGACGCGACGAGAATGCGTTCTTCCACCGATAGGGCAAGATATACTGAAATCGAACGAAGCCATCCGTGTCAGGCGGTGCTTCAGATCAGACCTCTCTCTGCTCCCAGTAGCTCCCAGTGCTTCAAACGCAGAAGCCTGTCGGGTGAAGTTTCCGACCCATCGGATAAATACCGGGTGAGATGAGAGGGCAGTTAAGATACGCTGACTGACTCGCTGAATTTCGAGAACCATGGATTGGATGCCCAAAGCTTACCCATCTAGGATCAGTAAAGTTAACACAGTGCGCTCTCTAATTGTCTCGCACAACTTCCGCCTCATCCGTTCCCACACGCTGGCGGACAGTTCATCAGTCTATTCCTCATGTCCCATTCCTCTCGTTGGTACCCCGGATGTCTTCTTATCAGTTGGCGGAGGCAGAGAACGGCTCACGCAATCCAAAGGTAAATCTGCGTTTGACGAAGGCCCGAACCCAGAGCTGATTGGCAAACTATGCCAGTGAACCATTAGTCATGGTTGTTCAGCCAATGACCGCTATCAACGTTTATCAAACCGAAGATGATCTGACTACACTTTATCGTAGGTGTCTCTAAAAGGATCAATAAGCGTTCATCTTCTATAGCTTACGCAAGGAATAGATACCGTAATATCAAAGCTGGTAAGAGCTAGGGTTGAAGGGAGACACACGCCGCAGAATTGGCAGGCGGATATAAACTACCCAGCGATTTAATGGTAGGACGGCTCTCCATCCTATTCCGCATCCAATCCTGCACAACCAGATTATAGTAGTACCATACTCATTTTGCATGCACCAATTTTCCCTAAATACATGCCTATTCCATCTACTCGATCTTGGGTATTAGCGTCAAAGCGATGCGACGAGAATGTAGTTCTTCCATTCATAGGGCAGAATCTACTGGAACTCTAATGAAGCAACACAGATTGCCCATGATTTTTTAGCAAACATCCCTGCTGGTGAGCCATCTGCCTCGACCCGAGGAGTCTGGGGTTTTCTTTTCAACCTATGGATAGATCAGAGTGTAGAGATAAGAAGGCAGCTAATGGCAGCACGTCGAGATAGACTGACTGACTCGCAGAGTTTCAGAACCCACGGATCAGCGGTTAAAGCTTATCCTATTTAGGTTCAAGAGGGCTAAAACGGCCTCGGTCTCCTGCGAACAATAGAGCTGACGCATACTTCGGGTCTCCGGCAGTTCCTTCCGCCTTGCTGATTTGGGGAAAGTTCATTAGTTTGCTCCCTAATTCCATTTCTCTCAACCGCGCTCCGGACGGCCTTCACAGCCGGCGAAGGCGAAAAGCAGATTACGGAATCTAAAAGCGCATCTGCGCCGGTCTAGCGCCTGAAAGAGCAGGATTTGGTGATCATTCTAGAAACTGTTTGTGGACGGAGCAATGAGGCTACTGCTTTAGATGCAAGGCACGGCGACTTGCGAGTCACTTCTTTTATGACTCCCGAAATATCTTAGGTCACTTTTGTTCAATTAAGATTTTGCTGCCTGGCTCCTTACAACCATTAAGCCGTTTGGCCGCAGGCAACAGTGCGGACCTAGTGTATATTTGCTACACGATATAGTCTACTCGATAGTGATGCGCATTTTTTTTTCTCTAGATCGTTTAAAAGTTTGAGAACTATCAATTCCGTACCGCGGTACACAGACCCACAAATTCTCCGTCAAATGGAGGGCCACAGCAGCAAAGAAGTCACGTCGCTGCTGGTAACCAGCGCCTTGACCCAGAGTTGGGTTTATATCCTTTACCTTCGAGGTAACCGGCGCACATCCTCGGAGGGCCTTCCAGCTCCACTTGCAGAAAATGCTTCTATACTCCAGCCAAAACCGTACCCCAGCAAATTATTTTAGTTCAAAACTTCCCCACCCGAGCGGAAGAGACGTTACTACTGTAGATATCTCTGGAAAAAGATGTTCTTTTGAGAATTATCTCGCGATTTTTCGGACATGACCGGATCTCGGCACATTCTGGAAAGTCTAGGCCCTCGATTACAAGCTCTCTTTTATTATACGCCTCTCTACGAGCACCTTAGATCTAAAAAGAACCGTCTCTTAGCTGTATACTGCAGCCACTGATGGAGCATATACTGAGCACCGAATTCGCCTCTCACCGAAAACTATTGTGAGCCAACTAGGAAGGTTTATGGATCACCGGAAGACTTTGGTTGTGGTTCAGTAATCTCTATAGATTGGAAACTTATTCTGGGACGTGTTGTTGATTCTTCACTATAGCCTGACCCCAAATTTGTTCTTGGCAGTGGTCAGCATTTCAGGAGCGTTAACCGAATACGTCAATCCATCAACTGGCACGTCTTCAGCAGGATGGAATCATATGCAGGTTTTTGTAACTTGAATCTGCTTACTAGATGGGCAGGTCATGGTAAATTGTCTATGGCCCACTGATTTACTTATCCATAAGGGACAGAGGGCGCATATTGACGTGGGCTACGCCCTTCAGAAACTCTAAGCCAGCTATGCGTCTTTGACTAGAATGTAATACACTAGTCACTGCTGTCGACCAGGGATGCAGAGGAATGAGAGTAACTGGACACCCGAAAGGTGCAGAAGGGATAAAAAGGAACGACACATGGCATGTCTAGTCGCGTCTTGATCGCCTCAAGCACGCATAACTGCCATGTCTAGCTTTGGTGTGAGAGACAGATTGAAACGAAAACGTTTCTGGCTGTCTAAGTATCGGTATTCTTGTTTCCCCGAAGTCAACGAGGTCGACTATGTTATCCAATCCCAGAGCGGGGCGACAGTCGCCCCCAATGCTATGGACCCGCAGATGCAAGCAGCAAAGAACACCCTGCCGGAGACCATTGATGAATTCAGATCGCGGCTGAAGTCGGAGCTTGACCAACATCAGCAAGAGAACCAATTTTACGGTGTTTGCTACGACCTTCATTCAGCGCTGCGTACAAAGGCCTCGGAAATCACACACCAGCTTCTCCTACAGTCTTACTTTGAGCCCGAGACTATTCCCTGTGGAGATCCGTTTCTCTATGATTCTATTCGACAATTGATCGCCGCGCTCGATGAGGCTGAGGCAGGCGAGAAAAGTGCAGAGAATGACTGGAAAAGATACTGGAATGTTTCCCCAGCGGCGTCAGTACCTGTTTGGATTTGATGTACTGTGACCTAAGAGTCAGATCGCTTCAAACTTGGGATTTCTTCCAACAGGCAGAACTCCATACCTGGGTTTTCAATGTACAAGATAAAAGAAAGCTAGATTGTCTCTGTCATTCGAAACCTAGAATATTCCCCACTCAGATCTCGCCATCCGCCCGTTCATTCTCGACATAGCAAATTGCATCTCATAGCAAGAAATCGTGTGGAATGAACTTATTATCTTCGATTTGACCAGCATAGCCACTCTTCACTATATACGCCCAGCCAAACACAGTAAGAGCAGCCCTCAGAGGTTTATGCCACCCCGTAACAATAGGCTTTGTACACGCCGTGAGTGTCCCGTGATAATCGTAGTGGCCTTAAAGCCGGGTGCGTGGGTTATTACCAACATCAATTCCCTCAGCCCACCTTTATATTATAAACTCGAGCTGCAGAGAAAGCAAAGTCCAAGTCTTCTCCCGTAGAAAGTCCAAGCCAAGGGCGAATCTTCCTCAGGTCCCCGAAATGAAAGGGCCATTCCTGCGTAACCTCTACATCATGTGATCGTTGATATAAAACCGGCTGATTGCTGGATATGTCGTATGTTTACAATCGATGCCTGCCACACAGAATGTCATCAAGGATCAAATCTGTGGAAAATAAGATTCAGAAGAGCCCGCAACATGGGCTTGTTCCCTGCTCTGAATTGGAAAAGAGTTTATCTATGGACCCTGCCGACGTGCGCGCTGAACCAAATCTCATTGAGAGATGCTTTATCTTGATGGTGGCAAATTTGATCAACTTGTACCTAGAAAATGCGCAGAGGAAGTATTCCCTGACCGAGAAAGAACTTGATGTTTGTGGACCCGTTGTGGGCGAAACCCTGACCACGAATGATCAAGCTTCGATGAATGATTTGATGATTCAGATGGTATTAGAGCCATATCTTAAGGCAAATTTCATGATAAACTGAGATGAAATAGGCCAATTATCCTTCGGTACCTCTCCGGCTGCTTGATCGGGCTCGTGAACCTTCGCTGTTGGTCGCTGAATCACAGAAGGGTGGTACGATTGCAACATTCCGTGAGTGGAATTATCATAAATGCCCCGGGCATATAAGGTTTGCTTGGAGATGTTTGCAGGAGATAATGGAACGATCAAGCGATGCCGAACGTCCCCGGATTCGTCGTCTACTCGTGACCACCATACGGAGACGGGCCAGTAAGCAACTGCATGCGTACGGATTGCATCTTATCATGCGGAACAAGAAGACAGCACGCATTATCAACTTTTTGATGAACATGGAAGAGGCATTGAGTGGAAGACCCCCTTCTGTACTTCTGTCTTCGAACAAGAGTAAAAGGTGAAGCGTGTGTCTGTCCTGCAACTTGCATGTATAACAAGATCTTTTGTGTAATCAGAACACTTATTGTAGACCTCGCGTTACACCATGTGTTAGAGCAAACTATGAGATGGAAATACTCCTGCCGCACATTTCAGATGGTGGAACAGTTTATGCGCCGATATCTTTCGAATTGATCAGCCTCTACACTTTCAGCATGTCATCAACGGCGAGCAATAGATTTGACATTACCCTCCTAGCCCCATATGTGACGATCTCTTCTTGGCATGAGCCTATCAGTACCAACTATTGTAAGAGGTGTAGTATAGCTACTTCTCTCTCGTCACAGTGATCAATGATTTCTACCTCTCAAATTTAGGGTCGATGCAGCGGAGCCATACGTGTAAGGAGAAATTTACGCGTGAGCCCTGAGTACGTTGTGATGCACATGGACCTGGCTGGGGTTCAACGCTTTGATCGGATTCAACAGCGAACAGAAAAAACCCCTGCATCAGGTGTTGCAATATCAAGCTAGAACGATTTACTGTTCG